GTTGCTTGCTGATAAGTGTGGTGTGAACTCTGAGCTGACTTGTTTTCTCCTAAGGGAAGCCCTTGAAACAAAATTTGGCTTTTCATCAAAGCAATGAATCTGTCAACTTTCCCTCTGTGCAGCTCGGAGTCCCCTGCTCCTGATTTGCAAATAAATTCCCCATTTTGGTGGCTGCCCTGGCCATCCATTTTAAAATTAAAGCTTTGGTGCCCTTACTGGAAAAAGCATCAGTAATTCTCCAGTGGCTTTTCCTGCTGTTGCATTTGGCTGGAGACTTCAACAGATTTAAGCCTCTGGAGGGTATTTCAGACCATGTGTATTGTTTACCACAGGTACAGGCAAGAAGATAAACAGATTGCTGGTTCTGTCTGTGATTGCCTTAATGGTGGCCCAGATTCCTTAGCCCTGGGTCAGCTCCTTGCACTGACTCAGTGGCCCACAACCTGAGCTGATGTCTGAGTGTAGGGATGACAGGAGGAAGATGCTGAAGAGCCTTCTCCAAGGTCTTGGGGAGGATGTTTCCATCCAAGCTGAAGTTGCAGCTGTGTTTTGTGAGGGTCAAGCCTTCTTCCAGTTCATGAAAGTCACATCATCTTCCTTGGCCCCTTTCCAGCCTTTGTCACTCCTGTTGCCTGATGTAGCAGGTGCCTTGGTTGTGTAAATGTGTGTGTGCACCACAGGAGAGATCCAGGCTCTGCCCACGCAGGAGGTGTGAGCAGCAAGGGCAGAGGAGGTGAGGACAGTGTGGTCTTGGCCTCAGGGCCAGGTGAGAAAGTGGGACACTGAAAAGTCCTCAAGGATTTGTGCTCCCTGGTGAGCCAGCAGAGGAGGAGGAGGAGATGCTCCATCCTTTGAAGATGGAGCAGAATGCCTGTGGATGTGCATGAGCAGGAGAGGGTCAGTGGCAATGAGCAGCTTGATGGTGAATGTTCAAAGCTTCTCCAGGGACCCCAGCTGGAGGGCAGGCTTTGCTGGAGAAGTGCTTTGCTTTAATTAGGCATCTGTATTAATATTTTATTTGATTTTTCTTTTGTTTTGTTCTTACTTCCTCCAAAGTGGGGTCAGAACAGACTCAGATCAGAAGCTTTTCCTTGAGACACAAAAAAACCACTTCCAAGCAGGGGGAGGTGCTGGTCCTTCTTGGAGCAGGGTGGGATCCTGGATCTGCTGTGTGTCCCCATGGGGTCACGGAGGAGCTGCCACCAAGGTGCTCATGCATGTTGTGCCCAGGCACCAGTGCAGGAGGAAGAGGAGTTTCACAGCCCTCAGATAAATGAACTGGAGCTAAAATCTCCATGGGTCAGAAAAGTAATTAGGGTAGATCGTGGTTGGAGCCCAGAGCTGCCTCCATTCCCAGTGTGTGGTTTGTGTCAGCACAGAGCAGGGCCCCTGAGCCAGTGAAACACTTAAGCAAGTACTTAGCTTCAAGCATTTAAATGGGTTTCTGTTGGTTCCCACAAATGCCTGGAGTCACTTAAGTTTGTATTTAAGTGCTTGATTGGCTCAGGGATTGTGCAGTTTGAGGAAGGAGGGTAAGAGGAAAGAGGTGACTTCCAGGGTTGGTGTGAATTTGGTGCTGAAGGGTACCTGATGCACTGGAGGATGTGATGCAGGATGAGTACAAAGCCTGTTTTCCAAAGACTCAGAGCTTGCTTTTGGCACCACCACCTCCTCTTTGGAGAGGACAGAGGCTGGCTGTGGTGCTGCCTGTCTCCGCCTTGTATCCTGGGGCTGAGGCCATTGGGATGCACAGCTCTGCTCACTCAGGGCTAAGCTGAGGCACTGGGCTCTGGGAGTGAGAAAACTACACCAAAACTTGACTGAAGGATCTTGTACCTCAGTGCTCCATCTGGGTTATTCAAGGATGAGGACAAAGGCAGTCTGACACTGTCCCACTTCTTTTCCCTCTGATGCTGCTGACCCTCTTAAGTGCACGTGCTGGCACCAGGGGACGAGGAGGGATGAGCCCTATCCTGTTTGAAGTACTATAATCCTTTCAGATGGCATTAGCGCCTGGGCCAGCAGCAGCTCTATAATTGAACCTCCTGTTTGCAGGGCCCCTGCGCTGCAGTGAGACTCCTAAATCTCATTTGTATAATGCCTGGTTGCAGCTCCTGCTGAAAGATTGCCCTCTGCCTCCAGTGCCCCCGAGCCTGCTGAGCGCAAGGATGTCCTCGCTGGCAGAGGAGTGACAGAGTGTGACTGGGCAGCAGCAGAGTGCTGCATGGCATCTGAGTTTCCAGAGCTTTCACCTGTTTATTGGACCTTGTGATAGGCTGATGTAATTTTTAATTCCCCCCCCTCCCCACCTCCTGGTTTTTTAATGCCTGAGTCCCAGGGAGCGGGCTCAGTGGCAAGTGCTCAGTCAGGTATTTTGTAGGGATGAGATTTTCCAGGGAAAGCTGGGTTTGAGGGGAATGGAGGTAGAGGCACATTTGGCTGCTGCCAGACTCCTTTGGGGTCATCTTTACACCTGCACAAGCAAAACCCTTTTTGTGGCCAAATGGTTTCCCTGGAAAACCCTGTCAGCTCTGCCAGCCCCCTGGGCTGGCTTGGGTTTGCTGCCTCCTGAAATGCCATGTGTGGCGTTCGCATTCTCTGAAAAAATGCCTTCGCACAGAGTTTTTCTCCTGGGCAGCTGAAAGGCAGAGAGAGCAAAAGAAAAGAGAACAGAAAAGAGAAAAGAAAAACAATTCTTATCTCATTTGCTTCTCCTGTGTTGTGCTCATGTGGAATGTGTTTGGAGGTTGTTTACCCACAGATGATTGTTTCATTGGATTCTGATGTGAATTGTTTTCACTCTTTGGCCAATTGGGGCCAAGCTGTGTTGGGACTTTGGAAAGAGTCAGGAGTTTTCATTATCATCTTTTTAGCACTCAGTAAGTATCTTTTCTGTATTATTTAGTATGGTATAGTATTCTTTAATATAATACAGTAAAAGAAGATAATAAATTAGCTTTCTGATAGGATGGAGTCAGGTGCGTCATTCTCTCCCCTCATCAGTGGCCCTGCATTTACAATAAGCATCCTTATGGCACTGGTCTGATTCACTCTGGTCTGAAGGCAGAACTCAGCAGCCCCAAAAGGAAAACAGCTTTTATTTTAGCAAAGGCTTAAGTTATCTATGTTAAAACAGTGCCACAAAAAGAGAAAGTGAGTCAGAGTCTCCCTTTGGCTTGCACTGCCCACTCCTTGTCTTGCTGGGCAGCTGGAGGCCAGGCCTGGGGACCGGTGTGACCTGCCTGTCCCTGTCCCTGCTGCCTCCTCTGGGGAGCCTTTTCACCTGACATGCCCTTGCAGGGCTGGCTGCCTCTGGGAGGCCAAAGTGCTGCCACAGCTGCCCTTTCCCTGCCAGTGTCCAGCCTGGCCTGGCCTCCCTTGCCCTGACAGGGGACACCACGGCCCCACAGCAGCAGCAGCCACTGCTTGTTCCTCCTTCTCGCTCCAGCAATCCCTGCTGTACTGTAATATCACAATTATTATGCCGTTAAAATGTCATATTCGCAGAAATCCACATAAACAAGGCATTAGCAGTTGCCAGGAAATTGTAGTTTTACTGCTAATGACCCATTTTCCCCCTGCAGCACCACTTGTTTTTTTTCCTTAAATATTATTTTTTCCCTTCTTTGTTTCTTTGGTATTTTTGTTTTGTTTTGTTTCTGAGCTGTGATTTAAGAGGCAGATGACGAATTACATCTTTGCAGTGAGAGGCTTTTAATCTTTAATGTACAGTTACAGTGAAAAGCTGCCTCTGTGCCTGCTCTGGGCTGTGTGCCCTTAGCCAACGAGGGTGATGGGTGGTTTTGGAGAAGGTGCCTTTAGTGGGTCATTTTTTGGGGGGTGCTTTAGTGAAATGGCAGAGAAAGCTCTTGGTGACCCCTGCTCTTGGCTGGGTGCTGGTGTGAGATGGAAGCTTCTCTCCACAATAAGTTTTGTCAGTGTCTTTTTGTTGGGTGTCCCTGTCCTTGAGCACCCCTGGGGGAGTCCCCAGTGTGGTGTTGGAAGAGGCAGCGCTTGTTTGCCAAGAGCAGACAGCTCCTCCTTGGATGAATTTTTCTTCTCTTTCCTTCTGCTCATTGAGTCTCTCGAACTCTTCTAAGCGTCGACTGTGTTTCCTATAATTAATACCAGTCATTAAACTGCAGTGTTGAAAGAGAAATTACCGAATTCCAAGAAAAAAAAAATGAAAATTTATTACTAGTACGTGAGAGAAAATGAATAGGAAACTTGGAGAGATGAGCCCTGTGGAAGATAAATAGAAAGGCAAGTGGAATATTGACTTGATCCTTTTCTAGTGCAGGGTAATTTGGCCTCTAAAGTGAGTTAGATCATAATAAATTAAATTTAGATTTCTGCACATCAGTTAAATAACTCCCAAGACAGAATTCTGGTGTGAGGAAGAGGTGATTATACATTGTGGAAATATTATAATGAAGACCTTATCTGGTAACCTGTAACCAATGTGCAGTCCCTGGGTAAGCAAAGGGGATTTCTCATGGTACTTTAACTCATTCCCTGTCTCAGATCAGGTGCAGGTGAGAAACAGGTGAGTCCCTGTGTGCAGGTTGGTGAGGTCTCCTGCCTCCTGCTGCTTGCAGAGCTGGGAGCTTTTCATGTTTTCCTCTCCTGCTTTGAGCAGCTGTGTTTTGCAGAGCTCAGTGTGCATCTGTGTCTGAGCTGAGCATTGTGCTCCAATTTCAGTTACCCTTTCAGGGAGGCTTGGGATGGAAAGAGCACCCAGAAGATTTGGGTAGGTGATGCAGATCAAAATCAAATGACCAACCCCCAGTATCTACCTCTGGCTGAAAAAGTGAACCCAATCCCGGTCTTGTTTTGTGGCCAGATAGGGATTGAAATAAGTGTTTAATCTCTGGCATCTAGTTACTGTAGATCTCAGGTGTGTATTTAATTACCCAATATTTATTATCCATCCTACTGATAGCCTTCCTCAGCTCAAAAAGAAGAACCTGGGTGAATCAAGGTGGGCTGGTGTCTTTCAGGTGGAGATTGCACAGGAGTATTAATTAGTCACTGCAGAGTGAACCAGGAATGCAGCCCTGGAATGCAAGGTATATCCTGAGCAGGATGAGAGGTGAATACTGTGGGGTAAGGCACTGGTATTTGTCCATTTCCTGCTGGGACCCTACCCCTGGTAGCAGCACATGAGTGGAGTTAGATGGAAAATGCCATCCCAGACCCTGGAGTACCCTGCCACGTGCCAAACCCTGCTTCTGCTGCCTGACCAGAGCATTGCTGCTCTTGTAGCAGGTGCAGAAGCTCCAGTTTTCTTGAGGGAATCCACCAGCCCTCCCACCTGAGCCATCAGTCAGATTCTTGCCCAGCTCTACCCTCCTATCTGATCCAAGGCTATTGGGTGTAACTGACATCACAAAAACCAAAACAGCACACACACACACCTTACAGCCTTAAGGTGCTGTGTGGCCACTTTGAGAAGCCATTTCTCCTCTTATTAAGTTTGATAAAACCAACTTTTATTTTTCTTTACAGCATTAAAATTTAGGGACTGCAGCTCCAGTGGTTGTTTCAGCAGCGCCAGGCCTCCTGGGGTCATCGTGAAATCTTATAAACATCAGGCTGTCGTTGGCTGCGCCATGCAATCGCCTCACTCTTCCCTGATCTTTTACTGCCGTGCTAAATCATGTTTTGCAGGATGCCTGAGAAAAGACCCAACATAAACAGCATTTATCACCCTGTGCATGTCGGCCCTTCCGAAAGTCTGCGGCTGGGTTACGTGCGCCCTCCTCGTAAAACTCCTGCAGGGACCTTACTGGTTTTGTAACTTTCTCCCAGCCTTGAGTAACTTTATTCCAGTCCTGAATAACTTCCTCTCAGTATGGCTGGTGACTCAGGGGTTTCTTCTGATCTCCTCATGCTGGGGAAGGTGCTGGAGGAGGTCCTGGGGTCACACATGGGGAGGATGAATATAACCCTGTATCTGGAAACCCTTGCATCCCTGGAATTTGTTGGCTCTTTGGGAGTGCTCACGTTGCCATAACACAGGGTGATGTGGGGTATCTTGTGGCTGGAGGTGCCTGGCTTGCTCCTGTGGTGGTTCGTTCGCTTGCAGGAGCCAGTGCTCCCTCCTCCCTTTCCTGTGACTACAAAAAATGCTCTGCCAGATGCGAGTAAAATCAATTATGGGATAAAAATTGCCCTTTTCAAAAGCTTCATTTTGCGCTATTAGCAGGCAAAATCGGCTTTGAGACGGTGTGAACTGAGGAGGGGGGGAAAAAAAAGAAAAGCAGAAGAAAAGATCAATTATGGGATAAGATCACAATTTTCTTTGGGGCTGAGATGTGTGTAAATGTTTGCATCTCTCAGTGTTACAGGTAGGCTGAGATCAAAGAGGTTGTGCTGCTGTAGCGATGAGATCTTATCGGTGCTGTTTTGTGCTGCCTGCCTCAGACACTGCCAAAGGATGCTTAAACCCCCGACAGCTTCTGCTGCTCAGGGATGCTTCAACCCCAACAGCACTGAGCCACCAAGAAATGCTTATACCCCCCCAGGTTGTTGAAGCTGCTGGGTAATCCCAAAATGCAGCTCTTCCATCCTTCTGGAGCAGGGCGGGGAAGTGCTTCCCTGCTCTTCTCCCTACAGTAGGGCTGAAGTCCTCGGTGGGAGACGTGGGGTGGCAAAGATGGACTGAAATTGGGCTGGGAGCATGATGGCCCCCTTCTTCCAGGGTCCTGTTGCTGGAGCTCGGGCTAGGGTGTGGCTGTGGAAATGTAGGATTACTCCTTTCCTACCTGAAAGGTTATGGGGGCAATGGGTCATGTGTTGTAAAATAACTTTGTTTTTTGCCTAGAGAGACATTAAAACCTTTACAAAATGTTTGTGCTGCTTAAGAGGGGCATCCACCAGAGACCTGAATTTGGATTCAGATTAGTCCTTTTAATTCAAATTGACAGGCTCTCTTTGACATATTGTTTCAGAAAGTAAGGATAAAAAATAAACCCTGGAGACCTTATAGGACTCTGTAGGAGTGTGCCTCTTGTTGACGGAGTGACAAAACTATACTTTGTCCCCTCAAAAAGGAAAGAAGCCCAGAAGTTTCTCTTCTTGATTAGGTGAGAAAGCCACCTCATAGGCCTGGGGGACTTCATCTCAAGCTTAAGGATAGCTAATTGGACAGAAGCAAAAAAGTCCCAACTTTAGGGCAATTTACTAGAAAAAGAAGTGACCGAAGAAACTAATCGTTTTTGTAAGGTGCTTTACCAGGAGCAAGAACCTCTAGCACCTGGCTGGGGTTTTCTCTGTTTGTTATTTTGCCTTTTTGTTTCCAACACTTCAGCAGAAGCCATCCTGCTGATTTTTATGCCTCCGAAGGTAGCTGAGCTACCTTGGGTATGTCATAGACCTCAGAGCTTATGAGACCTGGCTGGAAGAGGCTGCTATAACAGAACTCCTCGGTGGCAGCACTTGCCTGAGTTGTGGGGATGATGGAGCTCTGGTGGGGCTTGGGAGGAGCTCTGGAGCGGGGTCAGGCATGCTGCGGTCTCTGCTGTGTCTAACGGGGCTGCCTTTGTGCGCGCAGGAGCCGGAGGCGGACTGGGACGAGCTGTGGGATCAGTTTGAAGAGCGGCGGTACCTGAGCGCCCGCAGGTGGAAGGGCGGCGAGGACCCGTACCGGCTGCATGCCTTTAACCAGCGCGAGAGCGAGAGGATCCCCAGTGACCGCGCTGTCCGCGACACCCGCCACCACAGGTGCTGCCTCCCCCCGCCTCCTCCTCTTCCTCACCTAACTTCACAGCGTGGGGGCTGTGAAAAGTGCCAATCACTTGTTTTTAAAATTTTAAGTTTAGTGGTAATAAAGTGGTTATAAAAAATAGTAATACAATTAGAGTGATAATAATTTGGACGAATTGAATTAGGACAATCTGAGACAATAAATACAAGGAGTTATGGACAGTCCAGGTACCTTTTTCAGGGCAGCACGAGCCCGAAAAAGGACGCACGTTAACAAAGGATTAACCCTTAAAAGCAACAACCTGTTGCATATTCATACACCTCATACATGATGCATAAATTCCATTCAAACACAGGATTCTGTCTGGTCAGTGTCAGCTTCTCCCTCTGAATCCTAACAGCACCTTCAAGGCAGGAAGAAATTAATTTCTTCTGATAAGAGGCACTAAATTCTTTTTCTCTGAAAGATTTAGGTATCCTATGGCTGCTATCTCAGTGCCACTCCTTTCTTTAGAAAAGTATCCTTCATAGTATAGTTTCTATTTTAACATTTTTTATAACCTAAAACTATATTTAACACAGTACTTAAGAGAATTAATACAGCATTACTTTCTAACACAACACATATAATACTCATTTTAATATTTGTGAAAAGCCAGTCATAAAATACGCATTTTTCGCAGGGGCCTTGTCCCATTCCCCTCCAGGGATGTGGTTTTGGGTGCTCTTGGGATTGGGTCTGCCTGGGTTGTATTTTTGGAATTGAATGTTTCCCTTTGCTTGATTTCTTGGCATGTCTGAAAGTTTTAAACCTGTTAATTGAAACTGTATACATTATTCCAGGACCATACGGAAAGAAAGGAAAGACCTTTATTTTCCCTTCCAAAAAGTAATGGGTTTGCAAGAGCAAGTCTCACTGTTGGGCAAAGTCTTAACAGGTGCTGGAAACTCCTGCTCTGCAGGTGCAGTGAGGTGATGTAAGGTGGATAAAATAACTGCTGAGTGCTGAAATTGCTCTGCAGAGAGAAGAGTGGGGAATAAGGGGTAATTGCTGAGTGAGGAGGAGAGAAGGATAAGAACTTGTTGGGTTACTAGCTGCTCCAGCGCCCCTGAGGTCAGAGACATCCTTTGGTGCCCAAAGGAGCTCTTGGGAAAGGCAGGGAGGATTGCAGCAACTGTTGTTGCCTTGCAGATGGAGCTGCACTCCCCTGTCAGTGTGGGAAGGGTGGGGTGGGAGTTTTGGTGCACCCTTGCTTGCAGAGGTCTCAGCTGCAGTCTCCCTCTGGCTGTCTTTCCAGTCTCACTGGGAAGAGCTGCCCTTCCTGCTGAAGGTCAGTGGGGTTAATTGTTAGTTTGCTGGATGCGGTGATGTGAGGATGTCCCAGTGGTGAAGGAAAAGCTCCCAAGGTCCCCTCCATACAGTTTTCCTCCTTGTCACCTGAGGACACAGCGTACGCCTGGCCCCTGCTGTCAGTCACCAGTCCACAGCCAGTGCAAGCTCTTTCCATGGAGCTGTGCCTGGCATTATGTCCCGACTTGCTGGCAGCAGCTGTCTCTCCTGCCTTGTCCTGGGAGCCCTTTTGGGGCAGTCCTGCTCTGGGGGGAGCTCTGTGCTGGACCCAGCCACAGCACCCTGCTGCCCGTGCTGCACCTTGCTCCCAGATCAGTGTGACTCCACTCCTGGCACCCAACTCAGCTCTGAACTTCCCCCGTTCCAGTTCAAATGCAGCACTTGGGCTGAAATGCTGAAACAGCACCAGCTCCCCAGCCCTCTGTAGCAAGCCATGTGCTTATTTATTTATTTAGCTTCTTTTTGTTGTAAGGACCAGATGCTCCTTTCTCCGGAGAGGAGCTGTCAGCCCTGACGGACGCCTGTTATAGCTGAGCAGAGAGCGAGTGTGCTATTCCTGGAGAGAATTAATGCCAGGGATATTAACCATCTGCCCTATTAAACGGGAAGATTGCCTCGCTTGCCCCTTGCCTACCCTCAGTGTGCAGTGGCAGCCACCTTGTTCCTGGGCAGGCAGATGTGGCACTGAGTGCTCCTGTGAAGGAAAAGTTCTCATTAAGGAGGAAGAGAGGGCACAACACGTGGGAGGGGCTGGGGCTAATTTAATTTGTTTCCAATTTCCTTAACCCGGTAATTGGATTCTGATTTATTGAATATGCCTGAGGAATGCTGTGGATGATGCACCATTAGCCAAGCATTAGAGTAGCCACGGAGGAAATGGAGCTGCCGGCAGGTCTGGGGGAGGCAGGCACTGATGGAGAAGGATGGAGGAGGGAGAAGGATCTGGGATTGGTGGTTGAGGGAGAGAGGAAGGTGCAGAGCTGAGCCCTCTCTGGAAAAATAATCCTTACTTACAGCACAGGTATCCTGGGAGCTGCAGGTGATGGTCAGGCCTTGCCGTGCAGCCTGGAAGCTGGTCTTGAACTGTGCAGCAGAAATGTGTGGGAAAGCATGGATAAGCATGACCTGCTCTCGGAGCAGGGAGAAGTTGCTGGTGGCTGTGCAAGGACATATAAAGGGAGTGCACCATGGGGTTGACTAGATGCCCTCCTGTGAATGGGAGAGCAGGGTTGTGTGGATCAGGCTGTTGTGGGAGAAGGGACACCTGCAGTGCTCCTGCTGCATATCTGCTGTGTTTAGAGGCTTGGTTTCAATGGAAAACTTGGATTAAACTGCTAGGAGTGAACCCAGAGATTTGGGCCTCAATTCTACTCCACCTGACTTTGAGGCAATTCAGGACCCCACACTCAGGGTGCCACTGTGCCAAGAGGCTCCTGCCCAGCTTGTGCAAGGGTTTTGGAGGCTTTGGAGAGGGTCTCATCCATCATTTCAGCTCCTTGCTATTGATAAGCAACTTCTCCCTCAGCCTCTCGGTGAGATGTTGTGCTCTGCTTTGTGACAAGGTTTCCAGTGTGTTGGCTCTCCATCCTTTTTGCCTGTGGATGATGTGTGACAGCACTGAGATGGACCTTCAGACCCATGGTAGTGCCCAGAGACATTGGATGCTAATCCTAGGGACTGGGATATGGGAATGCTGCTCCTCACAGCTTCTCTGTGGGGTGTTTTTCATTAGGATGGTTGCAGAAAGTTTCCTGGTGTTTTCTCTGCTAATCCAGCCAAGCATATGGACTTGCCTGCGATAGCTGAATGTACAAAATCTGGCAAGGGCTGAGCAAGCAAGCTCCTTGCCAGGAGGTCATGGAGAGGGCAAATACTTTCAATGGGATGGGATGTGGCACTGACAGCCAGTTGCTTAGCAATGTTTGCTGGATTGATTTTGTTTTTAAATTGCAGCCAGTGGAATCGTTTCAGATGGAGAGGAATTGCAGTGTTCCAAGAAATCGGAGCAGGAGAAAACATGGTGGCTCTCTTTGTCTGCCTCTGGCTAGTGCAGGACTATGAACTTCAGCTTGGTTTGTGGGGGATTTCAGCCAGGGAGCTGTCGTGCTTTCTGAGGACTACTTTGTGTCACTTGGCCTGGGAGATATCACACATGGAGCATTGCTCCTGGTGGCCTTCTTGTGTTTCCCTGCATTCCTGGTTGCACATTGACTAAGCTCTTTGTTGAAGATTGCCATGCAAGATGTTTTCCATCACCATCTGTATGGCAGATTACCTTTGTCAAGTGGGCAGTTTGCTTTATCTCTCTCTTTGAGTGACCACATTCACACCTCCCTCGGGAGGGGACATTGCTGATAACAGACTATTGAATGTCACTGCATGACTGATAAGAACTACAGCATCCCATTGGGAGATGCTCCACCCAGAGGGAGGAGTCAAGCGTTGCTACCCAGATACAATCCAGAGGTTTTGAGACACCAGCACGGCTTTCTCCACGGGATTCCCCAGAAGAACAGCAGCTGCCCCTTCTGCCACTGGATCTTCAGAGGAAGAATACATCCT